GGAAGTAGGATTGGATGAATTATGATTGCAATGGCAGTAAAGTTCAGAGGGACTTTCCTTCCCAGATGATTTTTCCTTTTAGAAGGAACAAGTAAGGTTTTGTTTTATGTCAGTTGATATGCAATTTAACTGCTTTAGTTGATAGGAAACATGCAGCTATCCTTGCTGTATCAGGCTGTGATGGCTGTATTCAAACAATTAAAAAAAACCCCCAAACTCAGAGGTTTAACTTTCTATATAAATCATAGGTAGTCTTTTGTTACTTACCCTACAATTGAGGATTATGCTAGAATGGTCTTAGCTGACGTGGGCATCTTGAACTATCTAGATATTGTTTAGGTAGCTGCTTTATATTTTATTTTGGAATATAAATAAAATCACTTTTTTTTTCCTCTAACTAAACAATGAAATATTTTATCCTTAAATCCGATGCATCTGTCTTACGCTTCCTAGTGCACCAGAAGAACTAATGCTGTATTTCTCAAAATGTAGTCTATCAACTGAGAATCAGTCAGCAGGTTCATATTAAACAATATTTCCAGTTAAGTCAGATATAGGTGTATAGTAGCTTCTTTTCTTCTTCCTCTTCTCCTGTCTGCAGTATTTAGCAATAGTTTGCTGGTCAGAAAAGTATGAGAATGACTGTTTTATGCTACTACGGGTACGCTGGGAGAAAGGGAAGATTACAAAGCACAGAATGAAATGTGCATTCAGACTGTTGTATTGGCCACATTTAAAGTCAAGGTGTGCGGGAGATGCTCCAAGATGAAAAACCATATGCTAGTGACTGGAACCTGCGCATACTGTCCCTCTTTCCACCTTTTCTTGTTGCCTAAGTATCTAGAAATCACTCACCAGAGGTGAATAACTTCAACAGTCTCCAGAGGATGTTGCAACTCAGTACTTAAGGGACCAAGCCCATGCAACTATGAATATGCAGAAGTTTCTAGGCCTGGGAATGTACTTTTCTTGCTTATTTCCTTTCTGTTAATTCCCCTACTGATAAAAATAGCACAGAAAGCCTCTTAAGTTTGTGTGCCTACCCTATAGCTGCAGCTTTCAGTGTCGAAGGGTCAGCAGCCAACTCTTGTGTGCCATCAACTGTATATAAGTCCATAGCTGAACCACCATCTGTTGTGATTTAGAGAGATAGGGAATGATTTTTTGAGAAAGATATTTAAAAGAGAAGACCTTAGTGTAAGTGGTTCAGAAAGACTTTACAAATTATTGTTTGCTCAGCAGGCTAGACCCAGGTAACTAGGGGAGAACCATAATCCATTAAGAACAGCGGTACTTTCTTATATTCGTGGTGGCATACCATTGCTGACTAAAACTCCTTTCCTGATGGACCTGGTGAAAGTGTCTTGTTAAGACACGAACTCATACCAGAAAGAGTTCAGGAAGCTGTTGGGATCCTTGGTGATTCTAGGCACAGTTACCACTGAAAACTGTGAGGGTCTAATACTTCTAAGTCTCCTTCCAAACAGGAGCTGCCTAGTCTTGGTGCCAGTAAACTGGGTAACGGTGGCTGAAGAGATGCACGTCATCTGCAGCCTTCACGTCTGGCCTCTGACCTTCTTGCAAGACAAGCGTTTGCAGGAAGGAAAGCTGCTTAACGCACCTTGCGCTTCTTGCAGCAGAACTTCCTTGAGTTCAAAGCAACCATGACAAACTTTTGTTTGCCTCCACTTCTCTCCTTTCTTTGTTCTTTAAAATATCTGCTCCTTACAATTTGTCCTCTAGTCCTTTGTAACAGACTTATCACCAATGTCATCGCTGATAACCAGAGATGAGACTTCTGTACCTCTGTTGAAGAGGAAGAATATTGCGTAAGCAGTGATTACTTTTTTGTCATTGTATCTGGTTATTTTAGGTCAGTCTATGGAGTAATTCCTGAACCTGCACATAGCACTTCTGTTAGAAGGTTTCAGCTCTTGAGCTGTGCCCATATCTATTAATACATGACTTGTATCTACTCCAAAAACTCTTTAAATTCAGCTGAAAGTGTTAAAAAAGTTGCCTCTATAAATACTGTCATCATTTCAACTTATACTAGCCTGGGGAAAAAAAGACATTTAAAAATGTGTTAAGGGATGGAGAGTAAAACATGTGTCTGGGTGAGGTGGGTGGATTTGGACAAAGTTCTTGAAGCTTTATCCAAATACAAAGGATAAATAGATGAGTTATCAAACAGTTGATTTTTTTTTTTGCTGACCTGCCACATACTTAAGATTTTACAGCAAAAGTTGCACCAGATGAACAGGCAGAGAAATCTACATAGCCCTGGTTATGGTTGTATGAGGCTGCAGATGTTACCTTCTTCTGTTGTTTTTGGTGTTCCTAGCCTGCTTTTTTGTTACATTGCTGAGCCAGAGCCTAGAAAGCAGTTAGCGCTGACTGTCGGGGGAAGGAAGGTGCATGCAGTGATTTAATATTAACCTGTTGATGATAGCTGCAGACTTCAGAGATGGTGAGCATGAAACTCTGTGGTGAGCATATGACAGCTGTTGGATGCATCCTCAAACTCATAGTTCTGCCTTCATGCTCCTTTTTCTGGCATGTTTCTTTTACCCAGGGGAAGTGAAACATTCAAATCTGCCACAGGCTCTGGGGTTTCACCCTCCTCACAGGGGCAATAGAGGGAGAGGGTGTTAAATCTATTTCATTCTGTCCCTCCAGTTTGTAGTTAGTCAGTGTTAGTCAATAAATACTCTTGGTCTTTAAAAGGAAAACTGCAAAGCAAAATTAAAGGAAATTGGCAAACTCCCTAGCGTGGTGAACAAACTGAGAAGTAAGAGTTGTGTCAGGGCAGAACTCTTAAATCACGTCAGGGAAATAAAATTGAGCTCCTGAATCTGGTAATAAGCTGACCTTTTTAACCATTAAACTCAACTACTTCTTTCTCAAGCGCTCTCATTTGAAACTGTCTGTAAGCTGTGGGTTAGCTGGCTAACCGGTGTCTTTCACCTAGGCCTAAATAAAATTGCAAGGTGAAGTTGAAGTTTCACACATCTCTGTAAAGGCCACTGTGTAGGACGAGCTAGTGCTGCTTCAGAGGCTTTTTAGAGCAGAGCAATTTAGAAGTTGCTTAGGTGCCAACTTTCAAAAAAGCTGTAAGTTGCAGAAACTTTGAACTTCTCCTTGCTAAGAGAAGTAACCATTCCTCTGTACCCAGTTTTGAAGGCAGTAAGCCTGTCTCCCAAAGTTATTTTAAAACAAAACAAAAAAATTTTAGGAGATGCTTGGGAAGAACGTGTCCAAAACCAATTTTGATACTTAGATTCTCAAGTATGAGAGAATATGAGTATAAATATCTTGTATACAGATCAAATGTGTAACCTCATATGAGACTTTAGACCTTAGAGGATTTGAATCCTAATCGTACTGTGTGGCTGACTTTCCATGCTGTGTCCCTTATCATTTGAGCCTTGTTATTTTATTTATAACTCTTCCAATTAACTTTCCTGGATGTGTACTAGTGGTATTAAATATGATCGAGGGGAGATTTCTAGGAAGCCATCTTCATTGTCTCAACTTGCATTTTATTTGGAAGATTCATCAGCTGTAAACCTCCTTTCCTGTCTGAAGGTTGGATATGTTGTATGTAAAAGAGAACATTTTATCAGCTGGTAGCTTCCATTAGCTATTCTGGACTATAATGGAAGCTAGTTTTAGCTTCCATTAGCTGTTCTGGACAAAAGCTACCTGGGCTGAGCTGGTTTAGTGAATGTCTGGCACTGGTGCATCCTGGTTTATGCCTTTTTCTGGTCTCTAGATCTCGTGTGAATGTCTGAAATGGTGGGGAGGAGGAAGAGGAGTTTCTTACAAATTGGGCTATACAGAAACTGTTGTAATGCATTAACACTGATTACTGTGCAGCAAACTTTAGGGCCCCCGGGCTGATAATCAAATAGCAGGTTTGTGAAGTGGTCTTGTGTTAGACTGGTTGAGGTACTTGTATTCTTCTAAGTGCTATTTTAATGAGCTTTCACAAGAGGGCGGAGTAGAATTTGCTCTGGGAATTGTAGTTGTCTTGAGACTCACACATATCTCTAGAAATAAGACAGCTTGGCTTCCTTTGGTGTTACGACAGCGTGAGCTGTATTATTCTTGCTCTCCACCTGTATCGCATCTCGTCCTGGGCTCTGCGTGGCTCTTTGGTCACCACTTCCCAACGGAGAGACCCAGGAAAAGCCACAGCTTCTCTCAAGTGTCCCCCCGCCCCGATGCTGGAGCATGGAGGAGGAGAGGTCTGTAAACGTGCCCCCTGCACCACCACTGCCAATGTTTGCATGGCGGTCGTAGCAGCGAAAACAATGGCGTAGCTGCTGTTAGCACAAAAATCTTGTAGTTATTAGCACAAGATAGTGCTGTGGCGCAGGTAAGCCAGCTCTTCATAGTTTGCAAATGTAATAAAGGAGATACTGCTCGAAAGCAGCAAAATTTTCTTGCAGTCTGTTGAGGTGTGGTAAAATATGACCAAGAAAGCTACTTGAAAAGGAAATACTGTGTATCTCTAGCTTTATGAATCTTTAAGTATGTTGACCAATTCACTTATGACATTTATTACAGTAATACCCAGGACTATCTTCCCTCTAGCTTTATGAATCTTTAAGTATGTTGGCCAATTCACTTATGACATTTATTACAATAATACCCAGGACTATCTTCCTTGTAGAAACAGTTTAGAGTCCACAGAGAAAACTAGCTCCCCCGACCCCCTTTCTTTATTAGAGGACAAACTGCGTTAGTCTTTTTTTTTTGCTGGAGCATCTCGGAAGTGTAGTTTCAATTCTTTGTTGTACCTCACCGCTGGGCATTCCAGTAGTTTAGCTGAAAGAACTGCTTCTGATCTTTCATCACTCTTTGAAGAGTCTTCTGGCAGGTTATCCTGTACAACTCAGCACTACCTCAATTAATGCAAGTCAATTGACATTTAGCACTATAATATTCTCTGTATGTGAAGACTTTCATGTTCTCTTTTTTTCTTCCTCCTTCAGGTTGACCCTAAAGATTACACTTTTTCTGGACTTAAAGACGAAACTGTGGGCCGACTGCCTGGAAAAGTAGCAGGGCAACAATTTGTCATTCAGGACTGTGAGAACTGTAGTATCTACATATTTGACCATTCTGCTACAATCACTATTGATGACTGTGTAAACTGCCAAATCTTTTTAGGACCAATAAAAGGCAGCGTGTTTTTCCGTAACTGCAAAGATTGTAAATGTGTAGTGGCCTGCCAACAGTTTCGCACTCGGGACTGCAGAAAGCTGGAGGTGTTCTTGTGCTGTGCCACCCAGCCCATTATCGAGTCCTCCACAGGTATGAAATTTGGATGTTTCCAGTACTATTATCCTGAGCTTGCTTTACAATTTAAAGATGCTGGACTGAGTATCTTCAATAACACATGGAGCAACATCCATGACTTTACCCCTGTGTCAGGAGAAAATAATTGGGGCCTTTTGCCTGAGAATGCTGTAGTCCCAGATTATGTTCCTCTGCCCAGCTCTGAGGAGCTGAAAGCTGTCAGAATTTCTACGGATGCTACAAAGAGCATAATACCAGTAACTCGAGGGCGGAGACAGAAAAGCAGCGATGAATCGTGTTTGGCCGTGTTTTTTGCTGGTGACTACACAACTGCAAATGCCAGGAAGTTAATTGATGAGGTAAGTGACCTTTGTCTGCATTCAGTATTTTGAATTTCTAATTGAACTTTCCTCTGGACAGCCTCTGGTGCTCTCTGAAGGTAGAACACAGAGACTCTGCTTGTCTACTAACCATACTGATTAACGGCACTGTTTAAAACCTTTAAACAAGGTAAGAGACTGGAGCTCATCTGACCCGACAGTTGTTTTACAGCTGATATCCTGTGACTGACCCATCTATCCTCTAATAGTTCCAGTGTACTTTTCCATCGCGGCACGCCAAAGGTACGTTCTGAAGAAAACGCATAGTTGACTTGATGAACTTGGTCAAATGTAAAGTAAGTGATTGGCAATGCTTGTGAAAGGGATATAGCCAATTAACTAGTTAGCTTATTGCCCCAAAAGTCACAACTAACAAAACAGTCTGTCCTGAAAGTTTTTCCAGTACTAACAGAGACTTTAGGAAAAAAAAAAAGTGTTAAATTGTATCCCCCCTGCCACCCAGTATTGGAATAATTTTCTGGAAGAGGCGGTGAGTGTTTGTCATGGCTGGTCAGCTGTCTTCCATTACTGAAATATCTGCTGCTGTCTTTTTTTTTTTTTTTTTTTTTTCCCCCCCGTGAGGCAGCAGCTCCCAAGCTTGCCTGAGTTTGGGTTTCCTGGGGCTAAAATCTGAGAGTGGCTGGCTGCTTTTAGCAACCTGGAGTGCCAGGGATGACAGAGCAGAACCAGTAACCATGAGCTACAGCTTCTGAGAGGTACCTGCAAAAGCTGCTGATCCCAGGGTTGTATGATCAACAAAAAAAACCAGTGGATCT